AGCATCGATGGACTCAAGCGTGGCAACAGTAGTGAGGTTGGCCCAGGATTGGGCAGTGTTTCGTTCTGCTGTGCATAAGGTCGCTATGGGTCGGTACCTACTAGATGGCACCTAACAACAACAACACAATTCTGATATTATCAGTTGGAGACTTGGTACTCAAAATCTTAATCCTAACTTTTGAAACAACAAAATTTAATCTCTTGTATTAGAACCTTAATATTGAAGCTAGGTAGCTGAACATAGAAAAGGGAGCTGATGTGTCTCTAATTTTTATTAACAACTCTTAAGCTTTTACCTGGGTCAGCCAAAATTTGAGAGCCCACTGTCTTCAACCAACTTTCCTCAGTCCTTTGCTTCCTGTTTGCCCACTTGTACTCTAGCTCTTTTCCTTTCTCTTCATCTTAATTCATATATATCCATTAAAACATGAAAGAGCCCTGTTGGTGTTGTGGTTATTAAGTGTTCAGCTGCTAGTCAAGGATTTGGCTCTGAGGGAGAAAGATATGGTAGTCTGCTTCTGTAATGATTTGTAATGATTACAGCTTTGGAAATTATATAGGGCAGTTCTACGCTGTCCTACAGAGTCCCTGTGAATCAGAATGGATCTAACAGTAACAGATTCTAGTCTTAGTTAAGGAATGCAAGAATTTCAGGTTTCAACATTTCTTCCAGAAAACACCTGGCATTTAATATGGGCTTAAATCAGAGCTTTTCACTTTTGATTCACATAGCCTTAGTATAATAAGATTTCCACTGAATTTCATCTCCTTTTCCATTCCACAAAAGCAGCTTCTCTTTTTTCTTTTTTTTAGGTTGGAGGTTTGGTATGTGTCATGTGGTCATGAGTTGGGCTGCTAACCTTATGGTCAGCAGTTCAAAACTGGCTCATGGGAGAAAGACGAGGTTTTCTGCTCCCGTAAAGATTTAGTGCCTCAGAAACCCTGTACAGAGTCTCTATGAGTAGAAACCAACTCCACAGCACATCACCACCACCATCAATATTTTGTTAGAAAAATGTATAGCAAATTTACCAACCAAAAAAAAAAAAAGAAAAGAAAAATAATTATAAATCAATCTTTAAGCTAAGTCAACAGTGGAACTTCAGCAAAAGGTTTTTGGTATTATAACCAGATTTTTGTTTTGTTTTGTTTTCCTTAATACCAGGTCTGCTGCTGCTGTTGTATGCAACCCTGCATACAGCTTCTGAGTCTTATCTTTCTCTTTCAGAGCAGCTGGTAGATTCGAAACTGCTGA